GTCTTTTCCAACCTTGGTGATTCTGTGATTCTGTGATGAGATGGAGGACAGTACTTGCTGGGAGAAGTCGTGGCAGTTAGACACAAGTTGGATCTAGAGTTGGCACAGTTCTTGCAACCAGCTACTTCCAAGAATCCTCGAGAGTCTACACAGCATAAAAGAAGAAAGCTGGGAAAATGCTTATTCCTCATTATTCTTCCCTTGCTGACTCTTTCCTTAGGGTTCAGGTCTGAAAGGCAACCTTGGGGATCCAAGCAGTCCAAGAGTGCAGCCGGCTCTTTCCAAGAGCAGGGAATTCCTTTGGAGAGGAACTTGCTCTAAGAAGTTCTCCATGCCTCAGAAAGGAGTCGACTGCTACTTCTATTTCTACTCTGTCTGCTTTAAGGTATGGTTGGGTTTCTTTTGCCTGGATTTCTTCCTTTTCCTCACTTTTAAGAGAAAGGGATGGAGCAGGGGGAGACCCACTGGTGATGCGTTACCTTCCTAAGCAGTGGGATTGTGCGCCCGCTGCTAACAACCTGGGCTAACAGCACGGACATGTTTCAGGCTGTACTCTTATTTTCCTGTGTGGTTTCCTTTTGCTTGCAGGGAGACAGCTGTCCCTTCCGCCACTGTGAAGCGGCGCTGGGGAGTGAACAAGTCTGCAGACTGTGGATGGAGGGTTGCTGTTCCAGCAGCGACTGCAGGTTCAGACACATGAAAATTGATGTGAGTGTTTGCTCTCCACTTCTCTCTGGCACGACCTGGAGCACTGCATCTCTTTGCAAACCTCGTCTGCCTGTTTCCATGACCCTTCCTTTCTTTCTCTCTTCAGAAGAAGCGCAGTGAGATTCCCTGCTATTGGGAGAATCAGCCGGGAGGCTGTCTGAAAGCCCACTGCCCTTTTCTTCACTTCAAGAAACGCGGTGGGAACGCACCGACCATTCCACCAAGCAACGGTGAGTTCCTGACGCCATGAAGCATGGAAGACTTAATTACGAATATGACTTCTGAGCGGGTGCAGGATGTCAAGTAACTATTCATTCAGGAGTGCAGGGAAGAGTTGTCATAAGTGAAATATTAGTTTGTGTTTTGGCTCTCAGAATAGTGGTGTTTTTTTTCTGGAGAGAGGTAAATGCACTGCAGGTCTGTATTGACTGCAGAAATGGCACAACATTTGAGCAGGGGAAAGGCAAATGTAACAAACCATGCTTGAAAATTGGAAGTTTGTGGCTGACTGTGCTGAAACCTTCCTCCAAAGAGATGCTCTTCAATTATTTCTTGTCTTCTTTCTGCCAGAAGCTGACACAAGTGGCCTTCCTCTGAACAGCGGCCTTGCAGAAAGTCTGGAGAACCAGACAGAGGTTGAGAAGGCACCAGAAAGAGGTACAGATACTGAACAGGCATCTGGGTTTGATGCACTGTTTTGCTACTTAGGTTTTCTGATTGTTCTTTCCTGGACTGTTCTCTGCAGTTGACATCCCAACTTCCTCCCATGGCCCGGCTGCAAGATAACGCAAGCGATCTGAGGAGAAGGCCAAAGCAAAGGAATTGCCTTGCAATAAAAGAGTAAAGAGTGAGCACAAGGAGCTTGTTACAGTGCCTCAGCACAGTAATGCTGTCACTTAGCATTGTTCTGTGTCAGAGTTTTCCTTGCCCTGTACTATTACTGAGTGCAGCTCTTGGGTTTCTTTGTTC